ATGAACTTGGCTGACTTCTGAACCTATTCCAAAAGTTCAACCTTTAGCCTCCTTATTATAGTTCATATCGAAACCCATAGGGTTACAGTCCTAAGAGCCAACCAGAAGAACTCCAATTGAACTCCTCTACATCTCTGAGGGCTCTGCCAGGAGTTCGCGGCCGCAACAGCAGCGGACGCCTGGAAGGGCCGCCGATGGCATGGGCTCTACGGCGGTTTACGGTTCAGGGTTTACGGGTTTTTGAGGCTTTTGGGGTTTTGTTTGTTTGGGCTTTCGAGTTTTACGGTTTAGGGATACTTTGACGAAGCAGCCCAACATCATAGAAGGAATCAGCTTCTTATAGTTTTGTAAACTGATATTCTTTGCTGGCTCCTAAGAGGAAGCCAGGTCTCCTGAAACAAAATACAAGGAAAGAGCTCCAAATCCGAGATCGTGGAACTGAGTACGTAACTAGGTTTGTGCTTAATGTAACTGTACGTATCAGCGCTGAGGCCGAAGAGCCCGCTTTGACGGAACCCGATAGAGTTCATTCAAGGAGCCTTTAAAGGAACCCTGAACCCCAAACTTACCATTATTTCTGGAACCCTAAACCCTTTACCCTCATTTCTGGAACCCTCAACCCTACACCCTTGTTTCTGGAACCCTGAAACCTCGGCTCTGCCTCGGCGGAAGCGGCGGTCGCCTCTGCGGCGGCCACCGTGGCTGCCGAGGAGGCGGAGAGGAAAACTCCGAAGGCCAGGGCGGTGCCCACCTTTGGGGTTGAATTGGGCTTCTCGTGCTTTTCTTTGGGGCTTTTATTAGGGTTATAGTTGTTTTTTTTCGGTTTAGGGTTATCGTGCTGCTTCGAGGTTTAGGGTTCTGGGTTTGATTGAAGGGGTTTCTTGAAGGGCTGCTTTAAAAGGCTGATGGGTTCTATACGGTCAGGGGTTTAGGGATAAAAGCTTTAGGGGTGCCGCCTTTTTGATTGAAGGGTTCAGGGTTTCCCTCAGGTATGTTTTGGAAGTAAGGCTTAGGGTTTAGGGTTTAGGGTTTCGGGTTTAGGAAGGATGCTAGCGATTGCGTCTGAACGTGCTTATAGGGTTTGCTACTTATCAGGTCTCTGTCGACTGGCGGCAGGGCTGTTCCCAGCCCGTTGCTGTGTGGGTCTGAAGTTCTTGCTTTGGAGGGCTGAGGGTTCTTTGGAAAGCTTAGGGCTTTTTGGAGGGCTTACGGTTTGGGGAGCCCGCATTGTTTGGAGAGAGTTTATGAATGTTTGCGAAGTACCATGATCGAGGTCACAAGTACCATAATTGGGGCTGCCCCAGTTCTAACCCTACGGTTTCTGTTGAATGTCGGGATTTCTGGGTGAAGCGACGAATAACTTTACTAGACACATCGATATAACGGTGTCAGAGCAGCAACACACTAAGCGACGGAACAACATAATCTTACATTATGCCGCTACTTAGCTTGGCGGCCGTCGCTAAATCCTAAATCCAAAGCCTAACAAACAGTAAAGAGGCTTTGAAAACCGTATAGTACCTTAACAGAAGCCCCCAACAGAAGCGATACCCCCGCTGTGGTCCCTATATATTACCCTGTTCTCGTCGAGAAAGCAGTCTATACAGCCCCGTAAAACCCGAGGCAACGTTCTCATAGAACCTGTACTAAATTTCCAAGTTTCCCCGGTAGACCCTTCATCAGCTACTACTTGGTTTTGACAACGGAGCCCAGCAAGGAAAAGGAAAAGGGCTCTTTGAGAACCTAATTACAACACCATCAGATGCTGATCCTGGAGCTGCGAAGGCGAATGTCCAGGCTGCTCCGGTTTCCTCCTCTTCAGTACTGTCGGAACCACAACTCCATACTTCTTCGGCGGTGGGATCAAACGAGGCCAGGATCCGACTCGTACCAGGCCCCTCGTGGATGACCGCCAGGCCCAGCCACTGCCTCCACAGCCTGAGGCTGCTCCGTAACCATGGTAGCCGGATCCTCATGCTGCTCCGTAACCATGCTAGCCGGAGCCGGAGGCTGTTTCCACCATGTCGCACACATCTTCCTGTGTCTTGCCCTTCTTGATCTGAAGCCTCGCAGCCTCCTGGGATGAGAGATCTGAATCTACGAACCATTGACTGGAGATTCAATGCAAAATAATCCCTTCCCCCAAGTCTAGTATTAACACGCCCCCCTGAACCCTAAAACTTAACCCCTAAACCCTAAAGCCCTTTAAAGCCCATTAAAGCCCCTTAAAACCCTTTCAAGCCCTTTGAAGCCCTAAAGCCCTGAGCCCTAAAACTTAACCCCTAAACCCTAAAGCCCTTTAAAGCCCATTAAAGCCCCTTAAAACCCTTTCAAGCCCTTTGAAGCCCTGAGCCCTAAAGCTTAAGCCCTAAACCCGTAAACCCCTAAACCCTAAAGCCCCACAGCGCTTATTTTAAGCCGTTTGAAGCCCTGAGCCCTAAAGCTTAAGCCCTAAACCCGTAAACCCTAAAGCCCCACAGCGCTTATTCAAAGCCCTTTAAAGCCCTGAGCCCTAAAGCTTAAGCCCTACACCCCTCAACCCTAAAGCCCCACAGCGCCTATTTGAAGCCCTTCAAAGCCCTAAAGCCCTGAGCCCTAAAGCTTAAGCCGTAAACCTCTCACCCTCACACCGTAAAGCCAAACCACAAAATCTAGACTCGAAGCTGTCAACTCTAATCTCTTATCCTCCAAACCCTTCGAATTCCCAAAGCCCGAAAAAGGTGGGATCCCGACAGAGCCCGCAGCGACGGCGGAGCCGATGGCGATCTTGATCCCCAAGTCCTGCTGCAAGTACTCAAAGGATCATGGGACTCAGTAGCTGGGGTTATAAGTAAGGTGACCATACTTGCAATTACGTATATCCCCATTTAAGTACTTATAACTTACTCACTACGTCCCATGATCCGCCAAGTATGGGCTACATACTTATCAAGGAGGACATACGCTCCGTTTGAAGGATTTTTATAGGGTGCTTAAAGGCTCATGGGACTTAGTATGTAAGGTTATAAGTAGGTTATAAGTAGGATAACCCCACTTAGGGGACTTATAACCCCAATTATAACCTACTTACTAAGTCCCATGATCCTTTAAGTGCATATAAGTTCGAGGGACTGCGATCTAGGTCTGGGCCCTGAGTGTTGGAGATTGGGGACGCCGCAACAAAGTTGTTTCGGGATTTTCGGTTTTGTGTTTCCTTGGCTGACTTCTGAACCCCTCCTAAAAATTACACTTTTAGCCTCCTTATTATAGTTCATATAGAAACCCAAAAAGTTAAAGTCTACAGAGCCAACCAGAAGAACGCCAAGTTTCTACGCCGTCGTTCTTTTACGTTCTCGTCCGTCTGTCCATCCGTCCCTCCCATTCTGATCGTCGGTCCGACTGTCCCCAGATATGCAGGAGAACCCTAAACCCTGAAATCCGAAACCCTAAATTAAACTACGTTGCTAAACCCGAAACCCTCAACCCGAAAACATACTGCGTAAAGCCCACGTGTCAATGCCCTCCGGTCCTTGCGCGAGTGCCACAGGCCTTTGGGTTTAGGGGTTAGGGGTTTATGGGTTTAAGGTTTAGGGTCTAGGGCTACTATTAAGGTCCTACTATATCTATATTATGATTATTATTCAACTATTACTGAGTGGGGGCCGTACCCAAGGTCTAGGGGTTAAGGGTTTCGGGGTTATCGGGCTTAGGGTGTAGGAGTGGCAACTGTAAGGATCAAAAGCCTTTCTAATTTGGAAACTGTAAGGATCAAGATGAAGCCTTAATAACAATACTAATAATAATAATAACCATTTGAGAAGGGTTTTTTAGGCTACCATATTTGTCCTATCGAAATGGGCTTTGGACGAACTTGGTAGCATCGCTACAATGAACTTCCCTGTTAGGGTTCTCTTTGTAAGGGTGCCGCACTATTTGGGGAACCTACAAAGGGACCATCATTTAGAGAACTACCCACATTTCAGCTTAAGCTTTGGGGCTTTGGCTCGCAATTTGGAGTGAGGCTTGACGGACGTAGGTTTCTTGGTGCTTTCAAGGTGTGAGAGCGGTAGGGAGGGGGACTTGGGAGAACTAGGTACCATTTGGATGCAGGATCCTGGGATTTAAAAGGAGGTCGCGACATTGCCCTAAACCCCTTTTTGCCGTTCTATGGGGGGCGGGGGCAAACAAGAAGATTTGGCTGCCAAATGCCGGAGATGCCAGCACAGGAAGCCAAGTGGCTTTCCCAAACGGAGCAGCTTCCATTTTGCAAGCTTACCCCGTCACTAGCCGACAAGGGACGCTTTCTTCACTAGGACTGGAGGCCTCGCGAAGCGTCGGGAGGTGGTCGGACGGTGCCGAGGTGCCGCGCCGTCGCACGGGCCCAAAGGCCTAGGAAGAAGATATCGTATGCAATTGCTCGGCGGCTCTGTGCGGCACATGTATCCCACGTAGCGATCCGGATCTCTGACTTCCATCTCTTCCAGATTAGTCAATCTGCCGGCAACTCGGGCGTGATCACGAAGCCGACCCGTGCCTCAAGCGCTTCGGTGCAAAGTTGTGTGTTCCTCGGCTCGAATGTAATCGCTACGGTTACGGCCCCCAAAGTCCCGAAGAAAGAACACGGATTCCCAACTTGTGCAAGGTTACAGCAAACACCCAATATCAACAAAACAAGGGCACTACTGGCGAACTAGGAATAGGATCCTTTCCAATCCAGGTCGTACGCGAGGATAGCACGGGTTGCAGATCCCCTGCCTCCGGGGGTTCAGGGCGCAGAGGTCTAGGGCTTTGAGTTGACTGCCAAAGTCCTCTTCAAACAATAGGAATGAGTCCTGTGCAAGCTGAAAATACAACGTAATTACAGGACAAACTGAGCTAATCCATGGAAAAACTCTTACGCACACCTAGATCGTATAACGTCACAAGAAAATCCCCAAATTCCCAACATAATCTTACGTAAAATCCACGTACGGAGTCCTACAACGTCCTGCAGGGAACGTTGCGGAATCTCAGGCTCCGACACTGCGCGTTGTACGGCCAGGCCTTCGGCGAGGACGTGGCCGGTTATAGGAAATAGACCTAACCCTAAGGGTCCAAGTACCCAAATAGTAGGGTTTCAAGGTCCAAAAGCCATTCAGAGTATGGATTTTGGGCCCTAAAACCCTACTATTTGGGTACCTGGACCCTCTGGGCTAAGAGTAACCTAGGGATAAACAGGGTGCCCTTTTTGGTTCAAAGGGGGTTATAAGGGAACCCAAACCCTAAGAAAGGGAATAATGGCCTACTCTGGGTTTTAGCGGTTTAGGCTGTAGGAAAGCTCCCTGGCTTAGGGGGTGAGTACCCTAGCCCAAAAAAGACACCAAATTTCAATGATAGTAAGACTGTTATTGGGTAAGCCCCGAAAAGTTACAGGACTCATGAGTATGCAGGCATACAGGGTTAGGGTTTAGGGCTCTAGGCGGGTAGCCGAATGGGGCCTGTTGTTCTGATTCAAGGATACTTGACTAGGCTAGCCTTTTAAAGATATTATATATTATATATCCTTTGAAGCATTTTCTCGTAACGAAAATCCTCTTAGGCCCAGCAGGGATAAATCTAAACCGTCCGAAGGCCTACCTCGTCGACTAAGGGAGTTTGAAGTCTCTGGGATTGCAAGCTTAGAGGCTCATGGGACTTAGTAAGTAAGGTTATAACTGGGGTTATATTTAGGATAACCCCACTTAGGGGACTTATAACCCAATTATAACCTACTTACTAAGTCCCATGATCCTTTAAGAGAGGAGAACCTCCTCCGGCAGCGCGCCGATGTTCGCCTGAAGCAGATCCTGGATGAAGGCCGCGCGACGCACCTGGCGAACAGGTCCTTAACCTTAGTTCCAGGGTTTAGGGTTCACATTTCAGGAGATACTTCAAGACTCATGAGACTTAGTAACTAGGGTTATAAATAAGGCAAATAGATTTATAGTTACTTAGCACCTACTAAGTCCCATGCTCCTCCAAGTAGGGTCCCAAGGCCCAACTGCTGGGATAAACTCGGATAAAGCATGGTATACGGGACTCTGATCAGACCCTTCAAGCAGTGAGGCTACGGTAATTTTAAGAAAGCCATCCTACCCCAGATTTCGTTCTTGGTTCTTACGACAACCCCAGACCCTATCAGGCCTATCTCCTTGAACTCTCAATCTTAAGCTCTTTAAACCCCCATAGCGCCTGACAACCACTGTAGAAGCCTGTAAGCCCTTGCAAAGAAGCCGGACAACCATCCAATAGTGTATACCCGCGTACTGAGGGGCTGGGTATCACAACAAAGGACAGGCTTTGCAAATTATGGCAGGGTTTTCTAAGCCCCAGAAGGATAAAGGTTACTTATGCAGCCCCTAAGCTTAGAAATCCCCAAAAGCTCTTCCCCCAAAGAAAGTCTAGGTTCCTGAGTAGTTCATCTACAATAAGCCTTTTCCCTACCATTTGGATCTTATATAAGGGGACCCAAAACCAAAAAGGGCAAAAGGGTACTACTCAGGGACCTAGTAGACCCTGAACCCCTATAGATCTCTTGTAGAACCCCTTAAGGATCCCTTATAGAACCCTTAAGGAAGCCTTTAAAGAGTGCACTACTCAGAAAGGACCGAGAAATGAACTGTGGGACTTCTCGGGTGCCTTGCTCTGCTGGACGATGTCACCTGAGATCTGGCGACAGTTGATGGGAGGCCAGGCCAAAACCGGCGTTTAAGATTCTTGGGGTAGGGATTCCTTAATAAGAACCCTATTATGGGAACCCTAATCCCTACTAAACCCCCATAGGCTAAAACCCGTTTCGGCCTCCTATGAACAGCTGAGGAGATCTGGGTTCAGGGTTTGGGGTTTGCGGGTTTAGGGGTTTAGGGGTTTAGGGTTCAGGGTTTAGGGCCCGGTTTAGGGTTTAGGGCTTTGCGGGTTCAGGGTTTACGACAGTGGAGTAGATCAGGGTTCAGGCTTTGCGGGTTTACAGTTTAGGGGTTTGCGGGTTTAGGGTTTAGGGTGTAGGGGTTTACGGTTTAGGGTTTAGGGTTCAGGTTTAGGGTTCAGGTTTAGGGTTTAGGTTTAGGGGGGTTGGGTTTAGGGTTTAGGGCTTGCCTGTAGCCGACAAGACCTTCCTCTTTACGGTTCCTTATTATGGTTTCTATATATAGTTCCTTCAGGGGGTAGGTCTTTCGGGCCGCAGGTAGGGTTTGCGGTTTAGAGTTTAGGGGCTTGGGGTTTGGGCCTGAGCAATGTCGGGCCCCTGCTGAAGAACCAACTTTCCAGGAGAGCCACTAAATCCCAAGCCCTAAACCCTAAACCCGATTACAAGGTTCCCCAGTGGCCCCCGAATAATTCGTGCCCTTTTTTCTGTTTTAATGGGGGCATCCAAATAGAAAAAAGGCCAAAGGGTTCTGTGTACTGGGGAACCTACTTGGAGGGTCGGGAGACTTCCCCAAAACCCTATTCTACTTATTGCCTCTTATACTATAATTGTAATCAGAAGCCCCGAAAATAGTACAGGTAATTATTTAAGCCTCTTTCGTACGACACTGGGGCTGTCGATTTGGCCTCCCTGCGGGCCCGTTACATGCCTGACTCGCCCGTTGTCAGTTGGGTTGTGGAGCACCTCGGTGCTACGGTTGATGATATAAACCTTGCATTACCCAGGATAAGGAATATAAAGAAATCCCATAGTCTACGGTCCTTAAGGTAATTCAGGATTTATATCAGCAGCCATACCAGTGTTGAAGGGGCGGGCAGGGACACCGCATACCGTTTTTGGCTGAGGATGCCCTATTTGCCTCACCTGAATTCGTTTGCAGACTTTTGGGGCGCCCTCCCCCTCCCCCCATGGCCTGGACGTCCGCGACAGAACAGAACAGAACTGTAACTATCCAGTACCAACTTACTAAGTCGGATGACCTCAAGAGACCCTCAGCCCCGGCGTCTGCCTCTGAACCGCAACTACTATTTGCTTAAGAAACCCCCAAAGAATAAAAATAATAATCCCTATATTACCCCCATAAGGAATATATTTTTTATTTTTTGGGGGTTCTTTTGCAAATAGTAGGCAATGTCGGCATGTCGGGTCTGAATCATCTGAACAAGGCTTGGGGGCTTAGGGTTTTTGGGTAAGTTTAGGGCTGAACTATCTGAACAAGAATGTGGAGTGCGTTGTACTATGCTACGATGGTCCGATGGTTTTTTACAGACTACAAGGGATGTTGTTACTGGCTGCGGGTCGGGAGCTTCACGTAGACTCTTGATTGAAAGTGCTTAGAGAATCCGGGGTCTGCTTTGGGATTTAGGGCGCAGGGTTGGGGATATTCGGCATCTGTTAGAAGCTGCCCCCACCCCGTAATAGTAACTATAAGGGTTATATTTTTCCCCTTTTATATTCCTATTATTCCACTATTACAAGGTGGGGGCTGCTGCTGGGGCACCTGGCTTTTGGAACCCCGGACCAATGAGAAATAACCGCTGCCGCTATAGTAGCCAGAAGGGCTAGGTTCCTGAGTGACTTCTACAATGCTAAGGGTACGCCTTTTCCTGTTAGTCAGCTTTAAAACGGAACCGCCGGCAATGCCGGGAACTCTGCGATCACCTGCTCGAACGCGATTGTGGCATCGGACTTGGTCTGCGAGAGTCGCGTGCGACGGTCCGCAAAGTGACTTTCCATCTTCATGAGCGTCGCTCTGGTCGTCCTGTTCTCCGTGACTACGATCAAAGGGCACTTGCCCCAGATTGCTTCCACGGTCTGCTCCACGGCACTGGTCCACTGGTCGCTGAGGTTATTCAGGCCGAGCTGTGCGAGTGCCAGTGGACAGCGCCCGGCTGTCCATGATTGCCTTCAGCATTGGGCTGGAGTCTCCGGCTGCAGCTGCCGATGAGAGGGAAATATTGAAAAACGGGGCAAAAGGGTATTACTGAGGAACCTAGCAGGGTATCTTTCACAGCACCCTAAACGGGGTTTAGGGTTTAGGGTTTCTGAGTGCAGTCAAGCAGCGCTTGAGCCCCGCAGCATTGATCAAAAGGTCCTCGAAGACGTTCCACTCCTAAGTCGGTCTCGAGAGCTTGCAATATCAGCATTAGTATTAAAGTAAAAGCCAGAAAGTTGGAATATTATTATCCTAAACCCTTTATGGTAAATTATAGGGTATCCTACCCTGAAACCATATTCCAACTTTCTGGAGTTCCCTTTAGTACTGATGTTGCTAATTACTATTGAGGCGTCTTTACTCTGAACCTCTTTTGCATTGTAGCCCCTCGCTGAGGGAAGCCTGTACTAGGATGCCCAGTAACCTAGGAATAAAACGGGCTGCCTTTTCGGTATTGGGTACCTTTATAAGGAACCTAGGACTACAAAAAGGGAATAAGGGTACTACTGGGCATCCTCGAATATCAGTATTAGTGTTAGTACTACTTTTGATGATATAAATCCTACGTTACCGGAAGGACCCTAAACTACTGGAATTATGGTAACTTCTTTTTTGTGAGTCATGCAAGATTTCTATCAGCAATCATAGTCATAGTTGGTGTCAGTATTAGTACGAGTATCAGTACCAGTTTCAAAAATCAAAAGCTGGTCAAAAAGAAATACCACAGAAGCAATCTTACATCCAAACTGGAAGTAACAAATACACACCTCCAAACCCAAGACCGCCAAAGCCTTGATGGCCCCAGTCGGGGGTACCGACTATAGGGGCCGAACGAGTAACAATCCTCATATGTCTTTCTGCTGGTCTTATGGATGGCCTTCTACCCTGAAAATAAACCGGACAAGCACTTCTAGCTAGAGCACCTGTAAGAACATTGTAAGCCCTGTGTTTTCCCCTATGGGCCCCTTGAAACAACTCTAAACCCAAAACCGCCAACCCCAAATCCCTGAAGCCTTAACCCTCGACCCCCTAACCCGAATTATTTATAGGATTCAGAGCCTAGTAAGCTAGAAACAAAAGAACCCTAAACCCCAAATCCCTAAAGCCTTAACCGTGGACCCCCTAACCCGAATTAGGGATTCAGCGTTTAATAAGCACATAAGATAACCATACTTGTAAGTACTTATAACCCCAATTAAGGTACTTATAACCCTACTTACTAAGTCCCATGACCCTTTAAGTAGACCCTCAACCCTCAACCCCGTAGACCCCTTTTAGGATCCCTATAGATCCCTTTAAGGAGCCCTTTAAGAACCCTTACAACAAGCAAGAGAACCGATCTAGAAGTCAGTCGAGAGAAGAGGCGAACTCCGGCTTGCTTTCACCGGTTTGCAGGTTCTCCAGGGAGTTCTTCGCCTGAGCTTGGTCTTACCGTTGGTTACTAGGGAATGGAAGGGGCCTTTTAAAAAGGGGTCTATAAGGGTTACTATAAGGGATCTATAAAGGTACTATAATTTAGGGGCCTTCATAATCCTATAGCTTACCGTTGGTTAGTAGGGAATGGAGGAATGGGGTACAATTATAACTACTATTACTACCATTCTTCCATTCCCTTCTAACAAGCGGTAAGTAGTTTCGGGTCTGTGGTTTAGGCTTACATTCAAGTTTTGAAATATAGAATTCTCGAAATCAGGGCACTAAAACGGATGTCGAGTTTATGTGTCTTCGCTTTCGGGTTGATCGAGTTTATGGATTCTGAGGACGTTCGGGGTTCTGCATCAGGTTATAGTAGAAGCCAGAAAGTTGGAACATTAGTATCCTCATGCCCTTAAGGTAAAGTATAAGGGATCCTAGCACTAATCCTCCTAAACCCGTGTTCCAACTTTCTGGGATTCGCTATAGGTTTTGCGGGATTCTCATAGGGTTTTATGGGTTCTTTCTGGGAGAACTCCTGACCTGATTAGGTTGAGTTTACACAAGGTATCATGTGTAGGTCTCTCAATTGGGCCTTTGACGGGGTTTTTTAAATTCCTTAATGGGGTTGTCGCAGGGTTCCCTAAGGTTTTCGTTGTGGGCTTTAATGGGAAGGTATAGCTCATGTAAACGTTTAGGGGTTGGGCTGTTCAAAGGTTTGAGGGCTCTAAGTTCATACGCAAGCCGGTGTCCGTCCGTTTTCTTTTTTCTTCAATAGCAAGGCGCACAAAGTACAAAATCTTCAAAAATGGAACAAACATGTAAGGCCAGAACGGGAAAGTTCTCCCATTGGTTATAAACGGTTTGGCTTTGGGGATAATGACTGTTTTTGCAGGTGCTCAGGTGGTCGAGGGAGTGTTTGGCCTCAGACAAGATTTTGGGTGGAGGGGGTTGGTGGTTTGGGTTCGGGCTTAGGATTTAGGGTTTGGGGATTGATGGTTTGGGATCTGCTATGGTTTGTGCGGATTTGGAGTCAAAGGCTATGCAAAGTCAGAATAACAATCCAAATTATTCGAACTTCTACATTCTGTGGGGCCTAGGGCTTTGACGGGCTGTCGAACATGACATTTGTTCAGCAGACTGTAGGGGCCTTAATAATTATGATACGGTTTTGAGGGTATTAAACTTTGGTTATAGAAAGGAGGCCAAAATAGCATTGGTAACTTTTTGCGCCTAATATTACGGTAAGCGACTGCTTTTTCGTTGGCGGACCGAAGCTGAATCCTGGTTGAAATTTGGGCTACACTTCACTAGGATTTAATGCCACGGCGACGGCAATCTGAAATTGCATTCCGCAATGGAAAACATTGGAACAAGCTATCGTAAACAGTGTAAAGCCCGCTAAGACCGCTCAAACTCCAATAAGGGGAACTCCAGAAAGTTGGAATATGGAATAATGGCAGGATCCCCTATAATTTACCTTAAAGGGATGATGATATTCCAACTTTCCGGCTTCTACTGTACAGTCTTTTGAAGCCAATCGACCTGCACGCAGAACGGCAGCATGGGTCGTGGATTAAGGCCGTCCTGGTCCTTAAACACCGCACAACCAATCCCTAAACGAGGATTCAATATTTAAGTCGTGAGTTGGTTTAGGGTTTAGGCCCTAAACCCTAAACCAACTCAGGACTTAAATCTTGAATCCTCGAGCGAGACCCTGGAATAAAGAAACATGAAACAAGGATCTGCGGAACATTCTTGCCTATGATTCCTGCCCTTACTTAAAGGATCATGGGACTTAGTAACTGGGGTTATAATTATGGTAACTATACTTATAAGTACTTGCAACCCCAATTAAGGTACTTATAACCTTACTTACTAAGTCCCATGACCCTCCAAGTATGCTGTCCTGAGCCGCAGGCCAGGCCCGGAATCGGAAGGCCTAAACGCGAAACTCAAGCCCGCACCCTGAATCCGATCTTGAGTATCAAACCCCGAAAACGCCGCTGTAAACCCAAAAACCATGAAACCCTACTTAAAGGATCATGGGACTTAGTAAGTAGGTTATAACTGGGGTTATAAGTCCTCTAAGTGGGGATATCCTAGTTATAACCTACTTATAACCTTACTTACTAAGTCCCATGAGCCTTTCAGTAGAACTCTGATGAAGCCCAACAAGAGCCCTGTGCAATAAAAAAGTCGAGACGAGTGTCGCTCACAACCAGGATGGGCACCATCTGAGTCAGCTCGACGCAGTCGGAAAGGGTGCTGCGTCAGGCTATGGCTTGAGTGTTTCGGGCTGTAATTCTAATTAATTATGTCTCGAGGGGTGCAAGGTGTCCAAGGTGTCAGGGTTGCGGGCTGTGCCCTCCTGAGACTAACATGGCACATGCAAAAGGGCTCGTTGTGGACGACTGTCCCTGTTGAAGTGGTTTGGGAGAGGGTACGTAGTTGTCAACTCAGTTCAGGTTGTGGCAGGTTAGGCAGTGTTGCTGTTCATCAGGACGGAATTCTGGGTGCATGTTAAGGAACTTAACTATTTAACTTAGCAAATAAGGGTTCTATAGCTGAGAATAGGGTTTCCTTATGGTACCTCAAATACGACTCCTTGACAAGAGCCCATGTTCCAACAAGGTTTCCTTACCCTGGTAACTTAAGTTAGATTCCTTAAGCCTGCAACGAGCGCAAGGAATCCACTAGGGTTTCACTACTTGGAGGCCCTTTTGACTTAGTAAGTAGGGTTAGTATCCCCTAGAAACCCTATTAGAAACCCCATAACCCACCTTACTAACCCTACTTACTAAGTCAAAAGGGCCTCCAAGTATGGTAACTCAAGCTAGATTCCATGAACTGCGCCCTCGCCAATGTCCTCGATTGCGCACCGAGCGATGCATGCCTGTGCACGTCCAGGCCAGTTTTCTGACGAACTCGTTGGAGAAGAAGGAGGCGCTTTCGCAGACCAAGCTGCAGCCGGCAATGATTGCTTGCACAATCTTCCGAATGACTGGGCGATGTCATAGGTGCCCAGCGATTGCTGTATTTGCTGCAAAAGCTTCTTTTCCAGTCGAAAAGAACGACTTCATCCTCAGAGCAGATGGCCACGAAGTCGATGCAGCCTGCCAGCTGCTCGTCGTATGCGTACACCACTCTGCGCGACATGCGTTCAGCGGCAATGGATACTCTTGAAGAAACTGCCTGAACAAACGAAGCCCAATGCAGTCGTCCCGAACACAGCCGGCATTCAATAGAATTTGAACCTGTAAGTGCACCCAGGTCGCTCAAAAAGGGTTCCTTAGAAAGGTCCTCAAAGGGTTTCGTACAAGGGATCTGTAGTCTACTTGGAGGATCATTGGACTGCATGAGTCAGGTTAGAAGTAGCTTATTTGGGGATCCCGAATACCAAGTCCCGAGTTCCTTCAAGTAGGGACTCAGCCTAGCTGGTGAGTTTCCGGCCCGAAATACAGCGCCCCATTTACTTATGGGAAGAGCCTTTAAGGCTGTAGGGGTTTTTAGCATTCGTAAGGTACGAAAGTGAAAGGTTTGTCAGGACAAAGTACGTGCCTCTTTCTCTTGACGACATGAACCCGTTGGGGTAGCAACAACGTCGCCCAAGGCCTGAACAGCAGCGCCCGCAAGCTTTGCCGCAGCACCTTCGTGATTTCGTGCTTCAGGGGCCTCTTAAACTCCAAACCCATAAACCCAACCCCCAACCCTAAATTGAAAGCACAAAACGCTGAGGTTCCGCTTTAAGTATCTGTCGCAAGAAAGACCTGGCTGAAATTCAGGGTTCTTGATGCAGTGGGAATTGATATCGTATGGTTCATATATACTAACGTATGAGAATACGTTCTTATGTATAACATTTTACAATAACAGAAATACTTCAAAACTATTATACGATAGCTTACTCTGACATACAACATGAATATACTTATATATATATATATATTATAAACACCCAGAAGAGCCAAAAAGGGACAACCAGGCCTCAAAAGCACCAACACAAACCAGGCCCCGGGAAGCTTCCAGGCCCTTCCGTTTGCATACCTTAGAAGCTGCCCTCACCCTGTAATAGTGACTATAAGGGTTATATTGGGGCCCTATTCTACTCCCATTATATTCCTATTATATTATAAGGGTTAGGGTTTAGGGTTTTAGGGTTTTAGGGTATTATATTCCTATTATACCACTATTACAGGATGGGGGCAGCTTCTAATGCATAACCCCCAAAACACACCCGACATCCCAAATTGCATCTGTACAGAAAACAATGTAGGGGCCCTCACGATCTATGATAGGGTGTTGGGGTATACTATACAATAACTATCATAAGGAAGCCCCCGCAATAGTATTGGTAATTATTGAGCCCCCTATGTTGTGTCAATACATTCCTTGGGTTAAACGTAGCTCACAAAACTATACGTACCCCAAGGCACCATCAGCAACCACGACTCCTGAGGCCCTAAACTATACAATGCAAACACGACGAAAGACAAACAAGCCCAAGCTCAATATTCCCCAGCTGTCCGTTTATAGAACACCCGAAAGGCCTGCAAAGCCAGACAGACATCACCAACACAGGGGTAGCTCGCTAAATTAGGGTCCCATTTGGGGGGTCCTTCTTAGAAGGCGAGAACCCAGGACAAACAACCAGTAGCCAGCCTGCATGAACTTAAGCTCCCTTCCCCCAAAAGTTGCCTGAACACTTGAACACGTGTATACGACCCCCCCCGCCCCCCTCCAAAAGAAAAACACAATAACACCAACAATCACTTGCCTTTTTTTGCCCTTAGCTTACCCCTCCCTCCCTCTGCTCGCCCTATCAAACAAAACCGTAAACCCTAAACTCCAAACCCCTATAAGCCTGAGCCGTGAACCCTAAACAAAGGAACAAAAATGAAGCCACACTAGGAAGACAACACCGATATATCCTAAACCCCTATAAACCCTGAGCCCTAAACCCTAAAGCACCAATGAAAGCCAACCCTAACACCCCTACAGATCCCTAAAAAGAGCCCTTTGAGAAGCCCTTTACGGAACCCAAACCCTAAATCCTGAACCCCTAAACCCTAAATCCTAAACAATAAATCCTAAACCCTAAATCCTAAATCCTAAACCCTAAACCCTAAATCCTAAACCCTAAATCCTAAACCCTGAACCCTAAATTCCCACCCAGGCCTGCTTAGGCCGTACCCACCCTTTTTCTTAGGGTGCTTGGACCCAGAAGGAAATCCGGCAGTGATTGACACCAACTCTGGAAGGACAATGGGTGGAGCCATTGGAGAGTGGTCGAA